GCAAAATACCTTGGGGGAGGAAGAAGAATTTCCTGATGAATAGGCTTTCATGAGAAAATAATTTTCTCTCTCTGTGTGTGTGTGTGTGTGTGTGTGTGTGTGTACAGGCATTTGAAAAATAATTTTGACAATATTTAATATGATATGTATTATATATGTTAGTATGTATTTAAGTATGTGTTTAAGAGGAGACAAAATTAGAAATTTAGATTGCTATGATACTGCATTAGGGTCCTGAATATGATGCTAAGGAATTACCATTTATATGGTAAATATATGATGTCAGACAAAAAACAACCAAAAGTAGAACTTATAATAAACCAAGTTTCTGGAGACCTTTTGTGCAGTGCCAGAAATAAAAGTAACTTTATGTGACCAGAGGAAAGAAGCAGATCAAAGAAGTAAAAGTTAGATTTTACCATATGATTTATAATATTTTATATTAAATTCAGAATTTCATGATAAGGAAATATGGATACTTGTCTAAGTGTGTTCCTTTGACAGTCATTAATGAATTTTTTTGTTAGGTATCATTGATGGGTCGTTATGATTTCTCCTTATCTTTGATTTTCAATCAGTTTGATTATGATATGCCTGGGTGGTATTTTCTTTGTATTTCTTCTGCTTAAGATTTTCTGAGCTTCTGGTTTTGTAGATTGATGTCTTTCATCAGTTTTGGAAAATTCTCAGCCATTATCTCTTCAAATACTTTTTCCTGAACTATCATCTTTCTCTTCTCATTTTAGGATTCCAAATGTATGTGTGTTAGACTGTTTATTACTGCCCCACAATTCTTTCATGCTCTAGTCTATTTTACTTTTTTATTCTTTTTGACTTTATGCCTCAGTTGGAATAATTTCTATTGACCTCTGTTAGAGTTCACATATCCTTTTTCTGTTGTGTCCATTTCTGCTGTTATGCCCATTTAATAATTTTATTATTTCAAATACTTTAGATTTCTGTTCTAAACATTTTAAAAATTCTTTTCTGAACTATTCAAAACTTTTTCAGTTATTTCTCTTTTCCTCTAATTTTGGGTCCTATTTGTAATGATTATAGTCTTAGTTAGTTCCAACATCCGGCCATTTGTGGGTTGGTTTCATTGATTGGTTTTCTTTTGTTCATGCATCACATTTTCCTCCTTCCATGGATGTCTCACAGTTGTGTATTAGATGCCAAATATTGTATATAAGCCAATTACAGAGACTGGAGTGGAAAATATTTCTCCTCCACAAGGGCTGATCTCTCTGATCAAATTAGGAATTGAGCTTAGTTGGGGTTGGGTTTATAGCTTTAGTTAGTTTTAATTTACTACCAGTTTCCAAAGCTTTAAGCTGTAAAAGTCCCTCCTTCCAGCTGGGCTTGCTTATCCATGCACCATGTAACTAACATTCTGCTCTGCTCTCCAGCGCTGTCCCAGGATTTCTGTGCCACTGGAAATCTCTTTTTGCTCCCTATCTAGACTCAATTGCCCACATGCTGCTGAGCACTTGTTAAAAGTCCCATGGTTGAGAATTGGTAAACAGTGAGAAATTGCTCTTTGTCTGAGGCTGATATGTTTCCAGTGTTCCATAAGAGCCCATGATGGTTAAAAGTTCAGCCAGTTTCTCTTTCCCCTGCAAAGTAGTCTACCCAGTGACTGGTCTGCTTCCTCACCTGTTTCCTGGGATTAAAGCTGCCTCTATCCTAGTTCATATAGGAAGGGCTGATCCCTCTATGAGATTTAGTTTCCCCTAAATTTCTTTGTGTCCCCAGTTTCCCAATGGGTTAAAAATACAATTTTGTAATTTAACTGATTTGTTTCCTTTTTATGATGGAAGTGTTGGTTACTTTTGATCATCTCCATCATAACCGGAAGCAGGACCTTGAAGGCTCTCTGATTTTTGAAATCACTTAGTATACTTATTTTCTGTAAAAATAATAATCATTACAAAAAATCCAAAAGTCCAGAAAAATGAACAATGTTTTGTGAATGTGCATGGTTATCATTTTTGCATTTACTCTAGTCCTCTTTGGAGTGCTTTAAAAGTATACCTAAAAGTAGTTTAAAAGTGTGTCCTTTACAGTTTTTTTTTTTTTGAGACGGAGTCTCACTGTGTTACCCAGGCTGGAGTGCAGTGGCCTGATCTCGGCTCACTGCAAGCTCCGCCTCCCGGGTTCACCCCATTCTTCGGCCTCAGCCTCCCGAGTAGCTGGGACTACAGGTGCCCACCACCACGCTGGGCTAATTTTTTGTATTTTTGGTAGAGACGGGATTTCACCATGTTAACCAGGATGGTCTTGATCTCTTGACCTCATGATCTGCCCGCTTCGGCCTCCCAAAGTGCCGGGATTACAGGCGTGAGCCACCATACCCAGCCTATCCTTTACATTTTTAAAGTGTAAGGAATTTTACCTTCTCTTCCAATCCTCCATTTAACAGTAAGACTTCAAAATTCCCGTTTGCTTCTTGGATTCCATTTTTTCTCCACTCACCTTTCACATGTACCTTTTGCAATATGGAAGATCAAATGTATCACCCTTATGCTATGCAGTGGAATTCAGCTTTGCAGCAGCTCTTCCTTCCAGAGGGGTACTCTTCTCTTTTAACTTTTATTTTAGGTTTGGGGGTTCATGTGAAGATTTTTTACATAGGTAAACTCGTGCTGTGGGGGTTTGTTGTACAGATTATTTCATCACTCAGGTATTCAGCCCAGTACTTGAAGGTGGAGGGTGGGAGGAGGGAGAGGAGCATCACAGAGGTGTTCTTCCTGGCATTCACTAAATTAAGGGACTCTGAGGCTATTATGATCGCCACCTACCAGGACTCTCCTCTGTGACGGAGGGCATTGATAGTTGGGGGAGACCAACAAGTATATTTTTCTTAACATATGGTATTTAACTACAAAGCTACTGAAAAATCATCATGGGATAGCTATGGAAGTACTCAGATTTGTGAAAAGGATCCTCTGCAAAGTATGCTGAAATTTAGTGGCCTTTCTCGCCAAAGAGGAAACGAATGAATTACAAGCTACGTACTGCAGGGCAGAAGGTTTCTCCTACAGTGTGCAGCAAAGGAAAGGCACCAAACGAAAAACTACAACTGTTATCAGATAAAGTCATTTCCTTTATTTAACAATTTATGGCTTTCATTTTCCTTCTCAGTATCGGTGACTAGGTTTGGTCTTGTTCACATGCTTAACTATTTTAGGGGCTGTCAGGGTAGTTGCATGTGACTCTCCCATCTTGTAGAACACGTTGAGATGAAGTTCCTCTGGAGGGGACACAGGACTGCATGGTATTTATTATTGTGCTTGGTAGCCTTGAACTATTTTTCACATACTCAAAAAAATGATGCTGTTGCTTTATATGTTCACAGATGTATTTTAACCTTGACTATGCTATTTTTCTGTTTATTAAAATGAACTATGACTAAGTCATCTTAGAAGTGGTTGGGATGGTCCTAGAAGAAATAAATTTTATAAAGGCACATTTCATATTTTCTGGGAACGTTTGTATTTACTAAGTGGATAATTACATTAACTTTGAGAAGAAGATATTTATAGCTTTGTTTTTTATTGAGAGAGAACTCAAATGCATGGAAACTTGTATGTATAAGAAGTGACTTCCTAAGACCGCAACAAAATTAATGATAGAATTGAGTCAGTACTGGACAAATTCTTAATTCATCTACTTTGAATGTATAGCTGAATACATAGGAGTTTAGTGTAACAGGGGCTCTAGTTTTCACTTCTAAATGCAGGGCTAAAAATAGATGAAATTATTATCGATAGTATCAGTTCAACTTGATTTTTAAATGATGGCCCAAAACAGGATTCTGACTCCTTCTCCCAATTCAACTTTTATTCTCGTATCACAAAGGTTGCTCACAGCCAACTAGCCAAATGAAAAGTATAGCTTGAATAAGGTTCTCTTTTGTCAGTGATTTGTGCCTAGTGTTTTTAGCTTTCCCATAGGCTGTTGTTAAAAAATGATAAATCTGGTTTAAATAAAACCTGATCCTGTTAATGGTTTAATAGCAGCTGCCACAAGGTTATGGCATTTTTCAACAGATGCCTCTGTTTCATTTTATACCTAAACTAAGTCTTGGAATATTTATAAAAATCATATACAATATACCTACACACTTTTGGTTAAATATGTGTTTAAAAATAGTCTAAGTCCCAATCTTTGTCTACTTGTAATTATCCACACAAAATTCTAAAAAGAAATCGAAGGCTATAACTCAGTTTTTAAAAAAGATTATTTATGTCTTACATTTCTCTAAATTTTGTTTTAAGGTCATGGAATAGGCTCCATCTCTACATCTGGGGACTTGATCAGTGGCTTGGTCATTCTGATTATTTTGCCCATCTTTACATTCAGTTCTATTTATTTAGCACTGACAACTCGCTTATACAGCATGTGCATTATAGTGTCAACTGAAATAAACAGAAAAATCACAAAATTAAGTAGGACTCTCTTTATTCTTCCAGAGGTGGACTTTGGAATAATAATTCAAGTTATTATTATGGGTAGGATAATTTGCGATAATTTATTTAATCACTTTTTAAAAAGCATTTGTTCTGTGTGATGCAGTTGTGCTGGGTAAGTGAATGATACAAAAATGAATGGCAGGCATTCAAAACAATGACTCTTATGGAAGATAGAAATAGTTATACAGTAGAGGCGCCAGCTCGATCAAAGAGGAATGAAATGAAAGCACAGACTACTATGTGAGTTAACATGTTGCAAACTTGATTTCTAAAACGCATGAAGTTTAGACTCTTTAACTGGCAGGGTCAAATTTGTGTAGATCACATTTTCATAGTTGCTCAATTACCTGGGGCTGGAAGGACTGTGAATGTAAAGACATCCGACGGTGAGTTTTCAAGGGCCAACCACAGGAGTATAGACCAACGTTTTACTTAATCCTAAATTGTGTATAGTCATCACTGAATGTAACGTGTTTCTAAAACCACAAGCGTCTTTATCTTCTCTTTTCTCAATATTTTTCATAGGTGCTCCCTCAAAAGAAAAATGTGAGCCCTGGTATGGCTTTCTTGTTTGAACTCTTTCTCCTTCGTGGCACATATGCTTGCCTGGACCGGGCTGTGGGCTGGGCAGTGTTCCCTCTGTGTGATAACAACTTTAATATAGTGGAGGGAAAATTTAAGTGTCCCCTTCTCCGAAGACATTATGACCAGAAACTCAGCAACTTTAGGAAGATTGAAGATTTGATTTGTCTGGACTTGGACCATTGGCTGTGCAATCTCTATTTTCAGGTTTGCAATATGATTTTTTAAGTGGCAAGGAATTAAAATGTTTTCTAAAGCTGCTTCTTTCTAGCCTTCAGCTTCTGTTCATGCCATTGGAAAATTTAATAAGTAAAGTGGCATAGAATGGTAAAAGTTATTACATCTTAATGCTGATTTCTGATAATACAGATTAAATCGATATTTAGAAACAAGGAATAAAATTATAGAATTAGTGGGAAATTGAAAGATCATTTAATAAAATTTTCTATGTTGTGAATGGGCCAGAGCTGCCACTCAGTTCACAATCTGTCACTGCTGGGGTAGAATGTGCAGCTTCATCTCATTAACATGGGGATGGAGCTCTGGTAAGTTTCCTTGTCAAGGTGGATCACTTGATACCAGGAGTTCAAGACCAACCTGGCCAATATGGTGAAAGCCTGTCTTTACTAAAAAGCTACAAAAACTAGCCAGGCTTGGTGGCACGCACCTTTAATCTCAGCTACTTGAAAGGCTGAGGCGGGAGAATCGCTTGAACCCAGGAGGCGGAGGTTGCAGTGAGACAAGATCATGCCACTGCACTCTAGCCTGGGCAACAGAGCAAGACCCTATCTCAAAAAAAAAAAAAAAAAGTGTTTACTGAGCTTCTATTGTGCGTTGGGCATTGCCTGCTCTAGGGATGCAAAAAGGATAAGCATTCCAGTGCATTCGTGGTGTGTTCTTTGTATCTAAATTTATTCTTCCTGATTATGATGTTTTTCCCCAGGTTGTTCGTGTCATATAATGCCGTCAATTGTTCTTCTTCACCTTTATGTTTGAAGTTTTACTTATATCTATGTAATGTATCTGTCTGTCTGTCTGTCTGTCTACCTATCTGCTTACCTAACTGATAGAACTATTCAATTGGGTGTTCCCAGGAAGCACATGTAATTTTGTCCTTAAAATCAGCAACGGTCTTCCTGTTTCCTATTTACTTTGAGTAGAATTACCTGGCATTTTTTCTTCTTATCTAATTCCATTATAATGTTTTGCTGAAATGTCGTGTTGGGGCAGTGTAGGTATGCTATTAATAAAATAATGTTTATATGAATATGTATCTGTCTATTCATTTTGGAAATAGTGCCATCCTAAGATAAATCTGATTGCACACTAGAATTCTGTGGGAAGTTTTAGAAATACTTTTGCCTGGGTTCTAGTCTCAGATATTTTAATTTAGTTGTTTTGTGGTGGGGTGTCAGGCATCAGAACTTTTTAAAACCTTCCAAGAATCAGAAATGCTGATATAGATAAGCTTGAAAAGGAAGACTATTATAAGTGAATGTAAACAAAAATTGAAAATTTATCTAAAGGTTGAAGATAACTATAGAAAATCCATAAGAAAATATTTTAAAAATTGGTGACCTGAATAGAGTCAAAATAAATATAGCCATAAGAAAGTAAAGTTTGGGCTGGGTGTGGTGGCTTATGCCTGTAATCTCAGCACTTTGGGAGGCCGAGGCGGGTGGATCACCTGAGGTCAGAAGTTTGAGACCAGCCTGGCCAACATGGTTAAACTTTGCCTCTACTAAAAATACAAAAATTAGCTGGGCGAGATGGCAGGTGCCTGTAATCCCAGCTACTCAGGAGGCTGAGGCAGGAGAATCGCTTGAACCTGGGAGGTGGAGGTTGCAGTGAACCAAGATCGCGCCACCGCACTCCAGTTTGGGCAACAAGAGCGAAACTCTGGCTCAAAATAAATAAATAAATAAATAAATAAATAAGTAAATTTTGGTCTAACTAATGTGGAAGACATCTATAATTATTAACTGACTTTTTCACTAACTGTTTCCTAAAATTTAGTGTTCTATAAATTATGGGATGGAAAGTCAGAACCAGCTTTGTTTTATAAAAGACAATTTATGTAGTACTGTTATTCATCATAAAGATAGTATATATTTGAGGTTAAATTTGAAGTAGTGTTTAATATTTGCAAGGTCAAGAAAAGTGGGTATATTTTAGCAGCATTAGAATAATTTGATTTGACCAAAATCTACTTGAATTTGAACGTATTACTAAAATTTGCCTCGTTTTTTTCTGACTTTCTATTAAAAATACTCTGTAGAGAAAAATAAGGAATACTATAATTTATTTGCAGAGTTCAGCTGGCATTATCCATTAGAAAAGGATGTAATTGTCCACTAACATTCTTATTCGATAGACAATAAAACTAATTTTCTCCTTCTGAACATTTCATGGGGAAGTGAGTCTTATTAATGAGAATAATAACATGCAAGATGCGTGATTTTCTGATTGTAGGCAGAATAAGTAGGCATGTCGATCCTTCTCTCTCATGAGGACAAAACCAAAAAAACTTCTTTTCTGGAAACCTCAGTTTCCTCTTATGTGAAATTCTAAAAGTTGTGGATTTTTCCAATATAAGTTTTCTCAAATGCAAACATTTTTGAACAAGTTAATGCTGTATTTACTCAGAAAAGAATAAGTTGGAATTGGGAAGAGAAAAGAGAAGTAACGCAGATGATGGAACAGCAAAGTGTTTTTTTTGCGATGTCCTGTTAGAAGATAAAAAGGAAACAAGTCAATCCAGGTGAATCCTGAACATTTCTCTCCTGGGTCAGTCAGTGTGGAGAAACTTATACTGTCAATGAGGGGCTGGCAGAGCCAGGGCACGTGGCTTAGCCATGAATTCACGTGTTCTCTCACGGTGTCATTTGGGATAGTACTCAGACTAATAACCCTGAGCATCCCAGAGGAGGTTGGCCAACAGCTCTGAGACTCCCCACAGCGTGTGTGTAAGGATGCAACAGTGAAAATGATGTCAGAAAGATAGCCTGTCACTCTTTCCCAGGAAGCTTTGTCTGTCAATTCCTCACTTTCCTGAATATTTCACTTCTTGTGTCATTACTGTCTCCAAGCACTTTTACTATTAAAATTTTAAACATAGAGAAAAATTGAAAAAATTGTATAATGAGCACTCATTCACTGCTAGATTCTACAATCTTGTCATTTCTTGTTGAACTTAAAATATTATTTCTTGGAGATGGTAAATAGTGAATGAATATTTGCTAATTTTCTCCTAGTATGAATGTTAGATAGTGTTATTTGGAAGAAGAAATTTTAAAAATTATAAACTGAAATAAAGGAGAAACTATTATATAGACAGCAAAGGTACTATCTGAAGCACTTGTGTAAATTTGTTAATGCAAAAAACCTGCATTCTTTGTAATGCAACCAAACAAAAGCATATAATGTATGGAAAACTGAATTTGTTATTGATATTTTAGCTTTTTCAAATTGTCTCTTTTTTAAAGATGGAAACTATGTAATAGTTTCAACAATTTAGATAACAGATTGATCTCTTAATAGGTCATTAAACTTCCTTTGCATCTTGATGGTCAAAAAAATCATGAAAGCCATACTCGACTTTCCCCTGAATTTCCAGTTTGCCTAATGGCTAAAGGAGAGAAAGCAGAATCAAGAATGGATAATACAGCTGGCCTTTCAGAGAAAGAAACAGAGAAGAACGCTTGTGCTTCAATGGATGAGGAAGAAGCTAAATCCACGGTACACTCTTCTCAGGGTTGGTTGACTCTTTTTTCCCCAGCATTCTATTGCTAGTATTTCACGTCATGTTGTATAAATTATATTACGAATATAAGAAACTATCATTCTTTTTAAATATGTTTGAATATTAGTTTTTATATCACATTGTCTATTACATATGTAAATATAAAATAACATCATTGAAACAAGGCTTTCTCCATGTCCTTATTGCTTTGAAAGTTTTTTTGTTGTTCTTGTTAAGGGGGCATAATTTGACTTCTGTTGGTTCTTATTTTTAGATTTCAATTTTTCTTGCATGCTTACAAGACTGGTAACCAAAAACTGGCTATGAAAGATAACATATTTTCAGAAAAATAGTTGTCAATTAATACAGTTTATTTTATTGCCCTTTGTTTTCAAAGACTGGTTTAGTCAGGCAGTAAATAAGCAAATAAAGTTTTTTGAAATAGTCAATCTACAAAAATTCCAACTTGCAGAATATATATGCTATTAGAGATTATTCTCCTTCTTATAAAAGGATTGTTGCATTTACCAGAAGATTCACAAGCTTCTTTAACAGGGTGTATCCTCTAGCAGTAAACATTCTGTCAGTTAAAATAGCAGTTGATGGATTGGTGTTAATTATAATAACGACAGCATGTAATAGCACTACCAGCATTGTACTAATGCTGCAAGTATTACCAGTGATAAGAAGCCTTGTAATAAGTTTTATTTTTATTTTTGAAATTATTAAATATTTTAAACATCTCATACAGAAAATAGCATAGCAAACGCCAGTACCCAGTAGCCAGCTTTGCTGATTTTTACCATTTTGCCGTATTACTTCCCATTTTTTCTATGAAAAAATAACATTTATCAGTGATTAATGCTCCCTGTGAACTGTTTCCTAATTCCATTCTCAGCCTTCTCAGATTTGTTATTGATCATTTCCGTGTATATTTTAAAACATTTTCTACATATATGTGGAATCACTAACAATGTATATCTTTTCTATGTTTTTAAGCTTTGCATAAATATATCATACTTCACATCTGCTTCTGCAACTTTTCTTTTCTGTCAACGTTGTCTTTGATATTTATCTAACTGTATCTGTCTATGTATTTCTAATTTACTAATTTTGTTGTATTGACTTCCTTTGCAGGATTGTAACAAAATTTATTTATTTATGTTATTGTAGTTGTTTCTAGTTATACTCTGTTGCAGACAAAGCCACAATGACCAGTCCTGAACATGCTCTACTTGTGCACATGGGTGGGAGTTTCACTAGAGACTATATAACCCCAAAAAGAATGGCTGAATCACATGCACACACTTTCTAAAGATATAGACTAGTGACACTGCCACCCCTAGTGTGTCAATTTACCCTCCTTACAGTTGTGTAAGAGAGTTGCTTTGGTCCACATTCTATCAACCCTTGTTGCTGTCAGATTAGTTTTGCCAATTCAATTGCCATGAAATAATATCTCTTTATTTTAACTAGGATTTTTCTGGATACAAGTATATTAGAGTATTTTTGAAACTATGTATATTTCTGTTGACCATTTGGGTATTATCTTGTGGGAATTGCCTGTTCCTATACTTTGTCCACTTTTTCTTTGGGCCATGTTTTGCCTCATCGACCTGTAAGAGTTCTGGGGCTTCGTTGCTGTTGCTGTTGTTTTTAGGAGGGTGGTAGGGGACATTTATTTTCCGGTTCAATTTTTGATTGTTACTTATTATGCCATCTTTCTATGTTTAATTCATTAAAAACCAATTGGGTTAACTTGGTCATAGTACATTATCTTTTTAATTTTTAAATTTATCTCCTTTTGTTAAAGTTTTATTGAGCAGGTGATATATTCACATTGTTCAAAAGAAAACCCGCCTTCCCTTGCTGCTCCCCAGCAACCTAGTTCTTCTCCCTGAAGGAAACCGATGTACTACTCAATAGATATTTTTATGTATCTGTAAGAAAATACACAAAACTACTACTATAATTTTGAAATACTAGTAACTCTATCATTATATTATATATTTTTCTTGTCATTCCTAATGTTGATTATTAATATTAGCCATCATTGTTTTTCCTTATTAGTCTTGCTTTTAATCTTTTCATTTATTTTTTTTCAGTATCCAACTGACATTTACCTTCATTCAGGTTCTCCACTGATTGTTTATTTTCTATGTATTTATCTTTTTGACATTTTTATGTATCTTAACTTTTTATTTATCCACACATTGTGTAGATCAGAGAAAATCTACACATTGTAGGTCAGAGAAAATTATGAATGGAACTGTCCATTGCTTCCTGTAATTTTGTCAGATAATGCTTTATACATTTTAAATCTGCTAAGTGCATACAAGTTTAAAATTGTTATAGTTTGGAGGATGTTATAATTCTTTTCTACTTCTGTTTGTCTATTAATACTTTTGAATTTATGTTCTATTTCATCTGATATGAATATTACCCACCTGAATTATTAATTTTTAGTATTTTCATGGCACACATTATTATGCTACCCCTTATTTTTAAATTGTAACATTTTTCTGTAGTACAGTTTGGGCATGTATCAGTTAGTAGCATAAAGCTGGATTTTATTTTCAAGACAAATTAAGGGGTACAAAAATACAATTTTAGATAGAAGGAATAAACATTAGTATTTGAGAGTACAGTAGGAAAATCATAGTTAACAATAATTTATTGTATGTTCCAAAATAGCTAGAATATCAGATCTGTAATATTCATAACACAGAGAAAAGATAAATGGTTGAGTTGATGGATATCCTTAATACTCCAATTTGATCATTAGCCATTGCAGAGAGGTATCAAAATACACATGTACTTCCAAAATATGTAAAACTCACATATACTAATTAAAAATGGAAGAAAAGACAAGTAAATAACATGTTCCATTTAAATAGGTAAGTTTAAAGTTTTGAAAATTACTCTTATTATTGCTATATTTGTACTTGTTGATGGCATCTAATTTTCACTTTAAATTTACCATCCTATTTCTTTGCTTTAAAAAAATTAATTTGTTTATGCCCTTCTGTCTGTATAATCTACAGATTTTATCCATTACTTCAGATGTTATCCTTAATTTCTCACTTACATATTTAACTATAAAACATCTTTAAAATTCTAAGCTCGTTCCGTATTTCCATTCTTTTCATGGATGTGGCAAGGACTTTTAGCATGCCTTGCCCATTGAAAACACCACCTCTTCCAATTGCTATTATTGGCTATGGTTTCAGTTTCACTTTTTTATTAAACACAACAGTTAGTATTTTTTACTCTTAAGAGAAGATTAATTTAATGACATATTGATGCTTCATTATATTTTTAAGATAGCATGTCTTCACTCTGGCTCCATTTTCCTTCTTGCTGAAATAAGTCTTTAGTAATTTGTTTAGAGTTTGGATCTCTCTTAGTCATTGTATATCCGAAAGAGTCTATTATTTTCCCTCACTTTTGATAGATCATTTAGCCATGTATAAGATTCTAGGGTAGTAATACCTTTTCTTTACCATTTTTCCACTGCCTTTTTGTGTGTCTTGCCGCTGATCAGAGATCAGTGTTAAGTGGGTAGCCCTTGTAAAGGGGAGTGATGTATTTCCATTTCAATTTTAGATAGATCACTGAGACATTTTACGAGGATTTATTTGAGCAGGGCATGTCTAAAACCAGAACAGGTCAGAAAAGCTTAGAGTAGTCCAAGCAAAAGATGAGGGCCTCAATTAGGGCAGAGATAATAAAGTTAGAGAAGAGAATGAACATTCATAAAGTGTTAAAGAGGGGCGATAGAATGGCCATAAACATGATGTTGTTGATTGATTGAATATGGATGTTGGAGGATAACAAAAGTTGATTCCTAAACTTTGAACACAATAGATATGGATATCAACCAGCAGATAATAGGAACTATAGGAAGAGGAATAAGAGTAGAGGAAAACCAGGAGCTTGATTTTGGATCTGCAGAGTTTGATATTTCTATATTATATCCAAATAAAAATGTTGAAGGGGGCTGGGTGTGGTGACTCACGCCTGTAATTCCAGCACTTTGGGAGGCCAAGGCGGGTGAATCACTTGAACTCAGGAGTTTGAGACCAGTCTGGGCAACATGACGAAACCCTATCTCTACTAAAAATACAAAAAATTAGCCGGGCATGGTGGCAGGTGACTGTAATCCCAGATACGCAGGAGGCTGAGGCACGAGAATCGCTTGAACCCGGGAAGCGGAGGTTGCAGTGAGCTGAGATTGCGCCACTGCACTGCAGCCTGGGTGACAGAGTGAGACTCCATTTCAAAAAACAAAAAGAAATGTTCAAGAGATCATTGGGAAATGGACGTGAAGCTCAGGAGGGAGATGGAGAATGGGGAGGGAGTATATGTTCATTAGGGCCATGTGAACACAGAGACTGTAGCTGAAACTGCTAAGTGGTTGAGTTTAACCAGAAAGAATGTGTAGAGGGATAGGCGTGTTCAGTTGAGAACACAGATCAGGGAAACGGCAATATTTCAGGAGAAGAATGACAGATCTCTACCATGGAGCCATAATGGCCAGACACAATGCCTACACGATTCAACCTCCCAGGTGACATCTGTCTTCCTGTCTTCTGCTTATCAGCTTCATAGAGGGCGATAAATACTTCTCAAGTTGTTACTGGGGTTCTCCAAGTCCCTTAGAGATTATGCCTTCTTGGACCAAGTACAACTCTCTGCCAGGCTCAAGTATTAGTAACCCCTGCTTTCCTAAGGGCAGGTCTACTATGAGGCCTGGGCTTTCGTATACACACCTGACCTGCTTTCTTGGGAGTAAGCCAATATCATATCACAATTGAGATACCACCACCTCCACCTCCAGACAACTAAATATCAGTTTATAGAGTGATGCCTACCTGGAAATATGTTGAAATTTTATACGCAGAATACATATATATCAAATTATGTCACTGGCTTTAAACAAATATTTCTGAAGATAAATTAGAAATCAGATATATGCTGAAGCTATGTAACAAGCATCACAGTTATAAAAC